GTCAATTTCACGATCTGAAATATCTCCGAGAGCAGATCGCGTCGTCGCATTATGGATTCACTACTTGGCAGAAGAACCAGCTACATGCAGCCGTGAACGTCTTGGTATACGCTCGGACGGAACGGAAGTTTCTAAAATTTCGAGAGTACATGCGGCATATCATGAGCGTGGGAACTGGTAAATCATCTCGACAACTGACGTCACGAGAGTTGCGCTGCCATCCTGGGTAATTGTGCACGTCATCAGATGATATGAGTGCTGGTAGTTACTAGTTGGGTACTGGTGGTTCCGAGTTGGGTGCTGGTGGTTCCGAGTTGGGTGCTGGTGGTGAACAACTGAGCTCGAAGAAAATCGATCTGACGAAGTCATCACAAATTCGTTTGAAGAATATTTTGTGAGAAACTGGGATAGCTGTTGGTCCATGTGGTGCGCATTTGAGAGACAGAATGTCGTGACCCTTGGAAACAACACAAACAACAGACTTGAAGCTTCGTGGGAACAGCTCAAGGACATGGTGAACGCTTTTATGGCGGTTGATGAATGTATTGCGGGGATTCTGTGTTACCAGCATCAGCAGGAAAAGAGCTTCAAGAATTGTGTGTACAATCTTTCAGTCGTGTACGACCCCAAGTATGACAGAGAAATGCGTCATCATGCTAAACTGGTGAGCGAACACGCATGTGAACTTGTTTACGACGATTACTACTTTGCCATTACCAAGGCGAAGTACAAGTTTCACGAAGCCGTGCCAGGAGTGTTTTTAATCCAACACGAATCGGACGATGAAGACGCTCTAGATGAATCGCACAGTGAGTATTCACTAACGAAGTCGGACTGGTCATGCTCATGCTTGTTCATGACATCAAGACTTCTGCCTAGCCGACATGTATTTTTCATTCAAAAGGCCCTCCGCTGTGAAAACATCATTCCAACGCATCTACTCAATTCACGATGGCTACGGATATCTCTACGTTCGGATGCAGAAGTACCTCAATTTACTGGAGAACCATTTGGCGTATCTCGTGTTCTGAAAGAATCGACTACCTGTTGGGATTCAAGCAGAAAATTCAGAGAGGCGAACTATTTGACTTCGTCAATTAGTGAGCATCTGAGTGGCTTAGGAATGCGTGAATACCGGGTTGCCATGGCGACATTACGTGAAGTTGATGCTCGTTTCAGACATGGGGAATACGATATCATTACCCGAACGGACTCTGGATCTCGCGAGCTGACCATATCGGGTGAGTTGGGCACTGCTTCAGGTGGATTGGGCTCTGGATCGACAGAGTTGGATTCGTGTTTGAGTGATGTGAGGTCTGATGGAATAGTGGTGGGGACTGGAATATCCGAGATGGGCGCGAGCTGTGACGAGTTGGTATCAAACAACGCGGCTCTGGTAACGGAGCAACATTTTACAGATGAGGTTGGATCTCGTGTCGAAGAGCAGGCTTCATCCGGCAATTTCAATACACAAGTTCCTACTCTCTCGGTGGGAGGTTTAAAGTCTGAGTTCGAGATATTAAGCCCACCCAGATCGAAAGGACGTCCTAAACAGAAATCTCGAGCTGTGAAAGCTAAGCGTAAAAAGGCTGTTGCTATGGTACAAGAAGACATGGCGATGCATGAAAGACAGCGGAATCTAGCGACAATTCGCGAGATACTTAAAGGTGCTCCAACGTATGAGTCGTCTCACGAGTGCATCTTGCAGTTCAAGGCGTATCACTTCGATCCAAAGCCCAAACCTCCAATCGCTCATAGGACGGCACTACTACCGCCCACAAAACCAGTGATGATGCCCAAAGAGATTGTTCGAGTATTTCCGATGGATTTACTGAACAAGTACAGGGCTAAAGTGACGGCCTACCAGCGAAAAAACCCTGGGACACCAGAAACGGACATTGCGTTGGAGATCCTTGGTGTTGGAATCTTTGAAAATTCGATGTTAGCTCTCATGCGACAGTGGCACGCGACTACCAAGACGTTGAAGAGGATCCAGAGAGCACTCACATGGATTCAACAGCTCGATTTCTATCGACACACAAACGCGAGCTTTAATGTGGAGAAAGATCCCGATCTGCCAAACAAGCTGAAGAATATTTCAATTTTAGCAGTGGAGAAGACAGAAGTCTTGGAGTTGGCCGCAAAAGAATGCCTTAGTGATTCGGTTATGCAAATGGTACTGAGGAAGCAGTTTGGAGCCGACCCCAACGTGAAGGTCGTCGACCCTGCCTATCTAGGTATTTATAATGGGGAGATTACAACGGAAACTTCTCATTTTAGTAGAGTGTTGACTGGGGTGACAAAGGACACAAAGGCACTTTTCCCCATCAACTGCAATAACAATCACTGGTGCGCTGTGTTGCTAGACTTTCAAGATGGTAAGAGTTACATTTACGACTCCATGGCGTCATCTTATTTGAACACCGTCCGAGCCGCGGCTCAGAAATTGATTATGATGATACCCGGCAAGCATCGCCCAAGCCGCCGCATGACAATCTACGATCCTGGACTAGGCGTACCGTCAGACAGTTACAATTGCGGTGTGTATGTGCTTCTTGCTTTTGAGTTATTATGTGGGGCTGGGCCACTTGGTCACGTGAACAAAAACATCCTACAGCTCCTGCGATACCGCTACATGCGTATGCTGATCGAGGTGTGAAGGATCAGTTGTAGATAATCAGTGTTCAATATACCACTACCTGTTTTTTTTCTTAGAGGTCATTTGCTTTTATCGGTGAAGATAAAGTTGAAAACTCCAACACGGTGACTTCGCACCAGAGAGTCGCGCCAAACTCCCACTAAGTGCGGTCTACCGGCTATACATGTTCAGTGTATACAATTGCGCACTGGCTTCTTGAGTTGGGCGAACAGTTGGGTGGGTCATGGTCGTTTGAAGGGCACACTTGGGCATGTTTGGGTGTGGGTTGTGCCCTGTTGGGTGCAGCTGCCTCGTCACATATTTTTCAGTTGGGTGCAGCAAAGAGTGCCATCTTGAAGTGGCCACCTTTCAAAATATCTCGTTGGTGTGGCCCACCTTATATCTATATATATAAGTTGCTAACGCCTTCCCTCCCTTCACTATGGGGTACCGTCAACCACCTGTTTACAGAGCTGTCACGCTCCTTCGGGCTGTTTACTGGCTGAGCGTGTGTCAGCCAATCAAAATGGTGAGATTCGTATAGGCTGCTCTCTGGACACCACTTTATTAGTGGGCGGTGTCAGTAGGCTATTTTAGAGGATGCAGTATGCTAGGTAAGAGGATATATGACAGGGCGCAGGATTTGAAGAGGTGCCCTGCCAGCTCGGCTTAACACTGTTCAAAGAGCCCCGCTTAGCGGGGCTCCGCTCGGCTTGTATTATTATAAGAGCTTTGTTCACAGTAGAGGATCGCCATTCTCCAATTGTCCAAAAACACGTAGAACAAGAAACACGGGGACGATCGCCAGCATCACTGGAAATACACCAGGTCTACGCCTTAGAGTCTGCTGCACCTGTATTCTTTTCTTTTGCAGAAATCAAACGGGTCACTTCGCCTGCTGGTGGACTTTCGCCACCGGATAAGCTATTCCGTTGCTTGCCTAGTTTCGTGCCAAAGATACGTGAAAATCTACTGCGACTTGGTAAAGTTGTGGTGTTGGAAACCCCAAGTAAATACTTGCTACTCGTGTAGGTAGGTGGCCCCTACAATCACACATCTACCTGGAAGGCAAACAATCGATCAGGCAGATCGGAAGACCCACATTCGGATCTAGCGCCTGGACAGACTGGACATTTATAAAGGCCAACCAGTGGAAACACCCAACTAGCACGAGGAAACTGGCAGTGGATATATCTACACTCAACTAGCACGAGCAAAACTAGCAGGTGGTTTGAACCCTCGTAGTCTCAACATCGGGAGGGCGCCAGACACCAATAACTATTTGCGAGGACACCGAGTGCTCAACACTCGACTGGAATAATATATGAGAGACAACGCGCGCTATCAAACGTGCAAGTTACCGCAATAAAGCTGTCACATAAACGCTCGATATTAACCAGCCAACACACAATCTTAGTCTTGCCTGTTCAACCCTAGCTAGAGAGCTTCGGGCCCACCAACAGGCACAACACCCCCCCCAAAAAAAACAAGCAAAACCAGACGCTTATGTCGAAGCCGGATGTCGCTCGTGCTTGGATAGAGAATTGTGTTCTGCTTTTTATGCCGCCCCTTTGGAACCTATCCTAATATGTAATCCTAATCAGGAATTCAAACACCAAGTGAACTATGGCCCGTTAGAGATCGCTTCGCGTGCCAACAGACGCCTAAACAGTCGTCGCACCTTCTCAGGTCTCCGCCGAGCGTTTAAAATGTCATCAATACCAGCTAAGAGTCACTGCAACCGTCGCCAAGTCGTCGTCAATGCTGTTCGAAAACATTGTCGACGTTTATGACAAGACGACGAACATGATAGGATGACAACTGCCACGCCATTCAGTCTGTTGTGAAAACGTTGGACGTATCCTCTTGTTGGGTGTGCCAGCTATCGATCCATCCTTGCTGTCAACAAGTTCTTGACCCCATATGAACTGAAGAAGCTTGTCGATCTTCTTCCTGCAGAGCAAAACGTGACTCTGTGCTTGTCTACATTTACAATGGTGTAAAGATATATTCGAATCCGATCAGATATCGAGAAGATACAGCCGTTTAAACAGTGCTTCGCATCAGAAGAACTCGTTCCAACTGACGCGAAGCACTGGAAAATCCTTGACCTCTTCGGGCATCTGAAAGAAATTGAAAGCATCTGGCTGCGTTAGCAGCGTGACGACATGGGTATGGCCGAGGTGCGAATGATGTTTTATGCTTTATCTCTGAGTACATAGCCATGGGAGAGCATCTGAAGCCACCGCAAAGATTGCGCACGGACAGGCATTTGTCACGGGCGTTGTAAAGGTGATCAATTAATCTTTACTATCCTCGACTGAGGCTTTCGGAATGAAGTGCTTTGAGGTGACACAAACAACTAGTGAAAGCGCAAACCGACACAGTACATGCCTCTAATGAGATGATATCGCCAGCTTTCAACATCTTCTTGGCACCATAAACAACCCGTGGACACCGCCAATGTTAAGCAGAAACTTTGATTCTGGTCATCACGATATATGGGATGTTAATGTTTAGCAAGAAACATAACGGGGGTGGAACAAAATTTGCATTCATCTGTCAGAAGGAATAGACCCAGGAGAGACATGCGGAGCTCACTCACCACCTGCTTCGTAAACAGCAAAAAGCATAGCATAGTCATACCGGCATGCGACCATCCATCAAACATTAGACCAAAAAAGTGCCCCAATTACTTTTTGAATTTGCGGCCGACTTACAGTGGTCGACAGTGACCGGGACGCTTTTTTATCTTACCAAAAGAATACACCAATCTCTTCGCTATCGTATTCTGAGTTGAACAATGAATTAAATTGCGAAAATTGCTGTCGAGGCGTTTGTTTGGAAACTTGCAATGAAGTTGACTCATATAAAAGAGTGTGAAGGTCCTAATAAGACGTGACATCAAATATTAACTCGATTTTTATATGTCTAGCCAATCAAATACAGTTTTTATTGTAATTTTTAGATTATCTGACTTGTTGGTCTCTTCTTCGTCGTATACACCTGAGAGGTCTCCCTCCGATGAGGATTCGTCGCAATTGTCCATTACCTCGAGATGTTTTTTTTTAAGGAGCATCAAGTGTTTGTTACCGGCATTAATACATCCCTGGACACTTTTGGGTTTCAAATTTGCGAACGCAGTCTGTAGTTTCGGTAAAATATATGCAAAAGTAGTTTTTGTAGAGTACTGTTAGCCAACTTCTCTCTTTACAATTGCCCACACAAGCTCTATAGGCTGCAGGTCGGAATGATACGGCGGTGTATACACGACCTCGTGACCTTTGGTCTTAGCGATTTCCAGAAGAATTGGTACTACATAACTTTCGACATGTTTCGATAGTCGATCCCACAAACTCTTTTTGGTTGCATTTGGGGGAACTTCAATTCCATACTCTGCCATCCATTCTATCACTTTGGCGCACCGGCTGCTTTTTTTAGAAGGTTTTAACGGTAATACTTTGCGGTACTTGGCATTGTCCATACAAAAATATCGGCCCGATGACCTTATCGGACCTGTGTACTGCATAGCGTTTATCTCAGATACATACAAGGTTTAGAGGAGACAAACTCTGATGTGAATGGCTAAAGTGTGGTCAAACAGACTGTTTTATAGGCGGCAGGAAATGCCTAAAACGCCCTCTGGGCAGAGAAAATCGCTATTTTGTATTTCTATGCATTTTTTTGGCATGAGAGCCAAGTGTCCCTAACCCGGCGAATTCAACGATGAGGCTGGATCTTCACGATTGTCCAGATAAAGTTGCCACTGTCCGGTTATTAAAATCAAGCGACAGCCAGTCGCCACAGCTACCAATGTGTATTGGTGACCTATCTGCCAGTAAAAACGTGGCACTTGTGTGTAAGACGAATAAAGAAAACTAGTGATGAGCAGCCTCTTACTTTCAGTAAAGCCGTCACCGATAATGCGCGTTGGCCTTCAGTCTTACTTTTTTCCTCGCTACTACCCAGATCTTCCGTATCAACTGTACAGCTTCCAAAGACGTACAGTGCCTCACCCCCCCCCCCCACTCCAATGGTGTAGCTCAACTGGAAGAATGCAAGGTTTCGGCCTTGAGGATGCCTGTTCAAACCGGGCCATCGTCAAGTACGACAACGACGAGCGTGTGTCGCGGTAGATGTGCCTACGCGCTGCGAAGAAGGGTGGGTGTACACGAAACCCGATTGTTTTTCCTACTTACTAATATCCTCGAATACGTATTGCGTGTAGCCAGGAGACGGATCTTGAATTGCAGGTATCTGGAGAAGTCGACGATGGCGTTAAATCGTGGTATTTAGACTGTCGGCGCTGTGGATCCCCCGGAGGTGCTTGAGGATCGCGCTCGATCCACGGGACTTGATACCGTGCTCCTTCTTCAAGTATGCGAGTACGGCGTCCTTTGCGCGCTTCCCAAGTTCAAGCACTCGATTCCGGTAGTCCGCGGACGTTTGGTCGAGCATGAAGCCGTCTTCAAGAAACAGGTTCATGAACGCAACCAGCAGCTTGCTTTCGAGCGCTGCTGCTTTGGTACTCCGGCATGCCAGCGTAGCTCTTGCGCATACCAGGTAAACCAAGTTGCGTGAAGGTACGTAACAGATCCTCTGCGCTGTTTTTTTCTTGGGATCGCTCACGTCTGTTGTCTCCGCATCTTGCTTGTTTCTCTCGTGCGTTGCAGCTACAGGATCACCGTTTAGCTTTGCCTCCAGCATGTCCATGAGGGCATTTTGGCGCTTGGAATTCTTGATAAGGTGTTTAATGACAGCAGCTTGGTGCTCGGTGATCTTCTGTTCTTGGCTTGGCTCTCTTGGGTTGGACTCGTACTTGCGTGGTGGTGTGGCGGATTCTTCACTTTCTTCATAGGAATTCCAAGCTTCGACAAGATGTGCTGACCAGGCAAGGAGGTCCGCCAGCGTACGTCCAGCCTGTGCAACACAGGTTTCGAGTCTCTTCACCGTGGGACTTTTTGGATTCAAGTCTGTAACACAGGATAGTGCCGAACGACGCAGGCGGTAAGAACGTCCATAACCTTCCGGTTGATGTTGAAGGCCTCCGTCTCGAGCTGATAGCAAGCTGCGAACAATACCCGTTGGAACCGGGCGATCGAGTTGAGCGTGTCAGCGTCGAAGCTGGACAGGTCTTGGAGAGGGACAGCGGCCGTGGGTTTGTATCCGCTCAATACCTTGGCAACCATATGGTCTTTTCTACTTGTGTTGAATATGTAGTTGAATCCCTTGTTTGTGGTGCTTAGGTTCCAAGATCCACGGTCAAAGATCCAGCGCGTACGCATCTTCTCGTAGCCGACACACCAGCGGAGAAGCGACTCGATCAAGCACACGGTTGGTATGCGCGTAAATCGTCGGTGCCGTGTCACAAGACGCGGCTTGCTCATGGCTCTCGTGAGAGCGTCTTAATCCATGTTGCGCATGATAATCCACTGGATCCACTCGGACAGGTGACTTGCTTCCTCCGATGCGAAACACAGAATCGCAACGACCGATCCGAACTGCTCTCGAACGGAGCCTGATACCCCATATGCTTCCCGTCCAGATGCGCCTTCAGATTGGAATATCCCCTCCCCCCCCCCCCCCCCAGCTTGTTTCCTCACGCTACGGCAAATATTGCAGCGGAACAACCCTCGGTCAAGTGACGTAAAGTAGGCGGTGATTTGTTTGTTGAGGGCCATCGTCGCTCAACGTTCAGGGAACCTTGAGCCGTGTCTCAAAATGACTGCACGCAAGAAATGCCGAAAACTGAGATGGTGGCTTGGGAAACGCTCGTAGCTACCTCTCAGCGTCGACATGAATATACCCGGTGATGATGTCTCTAATCTGATTGGTATAACCACCATTACGCCAGGTGTTTCTACCCGAAGCAGTTCTGCCATATTTATTGTTAATGAATGATCTAATATCGTTTGTAATACCGCTGACATCTCCCAATAATAACAATTTAGACTTCCAAAAGCCAGATACTTATCGAATCGCAATTATTTTTCCAAATATCTGATATGGACTTGAGTGACATCGTGGTCGCAGTCGGACACGAAGATCATTCGATAGTGGTACGGTCTTGTCTTTCTTGTGCTGTAGTAATTCCCTGTCGTGTTATAGAGCGTTCGTAGCTTGGACAACTTGAAGGTAGCCACACCGACTGATGTACCGTACGTTAGTAGATATGTGGAGTGTTACTGCCTTTGTCGGCTGCAAATGTAGCAACTGAGTACGTGATAGCGCACCTTGTCGTCGTTGCGTTGGATGACTCATGGTTGGTGGGATCCCGTTGTACGAGGTCTTCTTCTTTAGAACATTCCAAGTGCCACACCACATTGCGCTCAAGTGAATACACGAAAGGTGATTGAGTGAGATATTTCCTATCTTCAGCTGCTACGACTCACTGCACTGCCTTGAACGAGCCTAAAATGGGTTCAAGTGAATCTATGAACAATCTAGATGCAGACCACCCGATCTTGTCAACTGGGTTAAGAAACGAGAATGAGTTCATGACGACAGTTTGCGTGAGTTGTTGCCTCGCATCGCATCAACGGATGAACTGTACTTTCTCAGTCTCGCTTAGGCCTTCTTCAAGTCCGAGTCCTATCCCCAGTCAAACTCTGACTCTGATCGAAGCTCGGAAGCCGCCATTGGAAAAGGCGAGTACTGCGCTTGTCGGTGCTGGAGGTGCCTCATCATCGTTGTCGCCGCCAGTGTCAGCACCATCTCCAGGATCTTTATCATCTCCATCGCTACCGTCATCATGGGCATTGGCCCCCTTCTTCCTCACTGCCTTTGCTAGCTTCGCCAGGAGCATGGATCCAATCTGAATCGGGATTGTTATGCGAAGCGGTCATTTGGTGCCCGAACGAATCTGCGGTAGCCATGATTAAAAAGAAGCGGTATCCAATCAGCCCTTTGAATATCTTCTTAGATTTACATCAGGGATGTAAATTAAAAACTGCAAGGGTTAATATCAATATTAATCATAAAATCCATTGAAATAACCTATAATTTGGACAAAATGAAATCTATGTATTATTTATTGCACGCCATTTTTTCGAGAGGCCAGTTCGTTACAAGGATTAACCTTTTCGTGAACGGGCACTTTTGACCTGACTATATTATACCAAAGAAGGTCAAGTCGTAGGCCATCAAAGAGGCCATTTTGATGGCGAAGGATCCGGCGTCGGGAATCGCGCTTACGGACGAGGTGCGTGCAAACAGCTTGGCCTGCGCTCAAGGCAAGCAGACCAAGAACAAGCCGTCGCAGAAGGACACCGGGAGCAATCGCCGATCGATGTCATCGGTGGGATCATCTGCTCCGACCTGAAAGGGTTGATGTCTCCGAGAGACAGGCTTGGAAACCGATACATGGTCAACTGCGTTGACCATCGCATCAACTACTGCAGAGTCTTCTTAGCAAAGACGTCGCGGCGCTTAAGTTCAAGCATTTTATGGTATTCTTTGAACGGCAGTTCAATTGCCGCATTCATGTGTTAAGGACGGACGGTGGTGGGGAGTATCACACCTTAAACTTGTTCTGCAAGGAAACCGGGATCGCGCGCCAGGGCCGCGCAGCCAAGCGAGCAAT